GAAGGAGAAAGTGTATCGGCTTGGTGAGAACTTTTTTTTTTTTTTTACTATTCTAAGACTTAAAAGGACACCCTAAAGTAAAGAAAGAATCTGTAAAAGTTTTGACAGGACTGAATAAGCGGCGGTTTTAAACGGAAGTGTCAAAGTAAGGCTTTGTTTTTTGCTTTTTTTTTCTTATTGCTGGACTTCTATCGCGATTTTGCATTTGCTAACTGGACTGGTTCTTTTCCTATTTACATCTATTTTTTCTTCTCTTTTTTGATTTTGCAACATTTTAGGTTAGAGGCTCCCTTTAGTTATTTTTCTCATATATATATGAGAAATATATATATTTCTAATATATATATATAATATATATATAATATATATATTTCTCAAACATATATATATATATGTGGATCTTTGGTTGTTATATATATATATGTGGATCTTTGGTTGTTCGGGTTTTCTCCCGCGTAAGATTTGAAGTATCTAGGCAACGTTTCGATGAAGTCTCATTCATCATCTTCAGGCTTCTGTCTCCGGCTCTGTGCTTCTCAGAGTAATGGAGATTGCAGCTGCTTCCTCCTTTTAACTGCCAGTGGGGGTGGGACTTGATTGGGTGGGGGCTTGGCTGTGTTCTGATTGGGTGGGGGTGTGTTCTCATTGGTAGGGGGTTTGGCTGTGTTCTGATTGGTTGGGGGGTTAGCCGTGTTCTGATTGGTTGGAGGCGTGTTCTGTTCAGGTAGGGGCTTGGTTGTGCTCAGGTTAGTCTTAGTTGCTGGGGGATTTGAGCTGGAGAGTTGTGATCTTGCTGTTTGGCTTCTAGTTCGTGGTCCTGCTGCATCTTCATAGTGGGTGTCGGTTTGCTTCATGTATGGCTCAGAGGGGTTTGAAGTGGGTAGTGATGCAGCTGCAGTGCAGCTTCTGGTCCATGGTCGTTTCTCATTTTCTGAATGGGTGGGAGTCTGTTTTCTACATGGAAGTGTGGTGGTGGCATCTTGTGTGGCTCTCATGGGTGTGGGTCCGGTGTCCTTCTTCATGTTAGGTACTCGTCTGTTCATGAGGGCGGGTTTCCAAATGGCTGGAAGGCGGGAGGTGTCATCTCGTTTGTTCATGCTGTGTGGGCGTTTTTCTATCTCTATGGCTTCTCTGATTATTCTGCTGTTGAAGTGTTCGGTTTTGGCGATAGTTCTGGTATTTTTAAAATCAATTTCATGTCCTGTGGCTTTGAGGTGTTGGACCAGGGAAGAGGTCGTTTCTTCTTTTTTGATTGAGTTCTTATGTTCTTCAACGCGTGCACTTATTCTTCTGTTGGTTTGTCCAATGTATGTGGTAGGGCAGGCAGTGCAGGGGATTTCGTATACTCCTTGGTTTTCTAATTCGATTTTGTCTTTGGGGTTTCTTAGGATGGTGGATATTTTTCTGTTTGTGCAGAATGCTGTTTTGATGTTGTGTTTTTGGAGGATCTTGCTAATTTTGTCTGTAGTGCCTTTTATATATGGGAGGAGGGCTTTACCGTTTTCTTGTTCTCTGTCTTGGATTTTGGTTGGGGTTTCTTTTTGGATTAGGTGGGTAATCTTCTTTCTTTGGAATCCATTGGCTGTAAGTACGTTGGTGAGAGTGTGTAGTTCGGTTTTTTGGTGTTGTTCATCGGCTAAGCATTTTGTTCTGGAGATGAGTGTCTTGGCTACGGAATTGATCTGTGCTGGGTGGTGGTGTGAGAGTGCATGTAGATAGCGGTTAGTATGTGTTTTCTTCTGGTAGATGGTGTGTCCTAGGGAGCCATTGGATTTTTTGTATACCAAGACATCTAGGAAGGGAAGTTGATTGTTGGCTTCTGTTTCCATGGTGAATTGTATTTTGGGGTGTAGGCTGTTGAGGTATGTGAGGAAGTTGTTCAGTTTTTCTTTCCCGTGTGGCCAGATTATGAAGGTGTCATCTACGTATCTGAGCCAGAGTTTGGGTTTGTGGTCGTATTTTTCTAGAGCTTGTGTTTCAAAGTGTTCCATGTAGAGGTTTGCAATAACAGGTGAGAGGGGTGATCCCATGGGTGCTCCTTCTATTTGTTTGTATTTTTGTCCATTGTAGGTGAAGTAAGTATTGGATAGGCAGTGGTTGGTTAGATCTAGGATGTGCTTGGGGGGGTTGTATTTGTTTTGGATGGCTGTCAAGGCTTCTTTTATTGGCACTTGGGTGAAGAGGGATATGACATCGAAGCTTACTAGTAGGTCGCTAGGTTGTAAGGTTTGTTTCTTTATGATCTCGATGAACTGGAATGAGTTTCTTACGTGTGAGTTGATGGATTCTGCATAGGGTTGTAGTTGTTTGGCAAGAAATTTGGCCAGGTTTTGTAGAGGTGAGCCTATGGAGCTGACTATTGGTCTGAGTGGGGTTCCTTCTTTGTGTATTTTGGGGAGACCATAAAGCTTGGGGCATCTGGATGATTTTTCTCTGGGTATGATTCCTTGCTGGATTTCTTCACTGATGGGGGAGGCTTTTATTTTGGATTTGGTAGTTTTTTCTAGGTAGGTGGTGGGGTCTGTCTTTAGGGGTTATATATATAAAGAGAGAGAGAGAGAGAGAGAGAGTGTTTCTCTTCTTTTTTTAACTTCTATTACGTTTTGTCTGGGAAAGGAGGGGGGAAGTGTGAATAAAGAAACTTTGTAACACTGCCAACTAGAGGCTTGAAAATATTTTAGACGAAGCTGAGAAAGCTGAGAAAGAAAGATCTGAGACTCCCTTTCAAGGACATTGCTATGTGATAAGATAGAGGGAAGAGCACGGGAGAGTGTTATTGCAGGTGTTCTTCTAGATTTCTATCAACAATTGAAGCTTGGTTTTCAAGTTTGCAGAGAAGAGAGTTATAATAAGAGCCTTGGATAATTAAATAAAGTGCAGTGTGTCCTTGTTATTTTTTTTTATTGTGCTACTCTCCTTACCAGCTTTACTGTACTCTTTTTTTTTCTTAAACCCTTTTTTTTGCAATATTTCCATTTTTGCTTTGTATTTTAAAGGGAAAGCCTCAAAATTTTGCTTTTTTTTTTCCTCCTTCCTTCTTTGGGATTTTTTGTCTTTCATCCATTCTTTGGGTTCACTTTCATGCTTTTTTTTATTTGAGAACAATACCAATTAGGCTTGGAAAGGACTACTTTGAAGTTTTAAATAAAATTGTGTTGAAATATATATGGCAAGGTAAGAAAGCGAGAATAAAGCTAAAGCTTTTGCAAGATGCTGGAATAAGAGGAGGATTTGGATTGCTAATTGGGAGTTGTCTTACCAAGCTACAAACTTGATGTGGGCTAAGGAATGGATAACATTAAGAAATACTAGATTGTTGACATTAGAAGGACATGATTTGTTGATAGGGTGGCATGCTTTGTTATGGTATAAGGGAACTAAAACACAGGGCTATTTTAGAAGACATCATATACGGGAGTCTCTGTGGTTAAATTGGGAGAAGATTAAAAGACAATGCTATTTGAAAATTCCAGACTGGTTATCGACTATTGAAGCATTTTCCTATCCTATAATATGAAAGAAGGAACAAACAGTTAAATATGGGGAAATTTTGAATGAAAAGGGTGAACTTAAATCAATGCAAAAACTAGAGGAACAAGGTATAAAGATGAATTGGTTTTCATATGCGCAAATACACTCAAGGTATGATAAGGATTTTAAAATAGAAGGTTTTTATCATAAATTGACTAACTTAGATAAGATCTTGACAGGTACCGATGAAAAGGTGATTAAAAAACTGTATGGATATCTATTAGAAATTAAACTAGAAGAAGAACAAGTTAAAGAAACTATGATTGCTTGGGGGAAGAATTTTGGATATGGGATTGATTTAGAGAAATGGCAAAAACTGTGGTCTCAAAATTATAAAATGACAAGGTCAACAGCATTTAAAGAAAATTTGTATAAGATGTTTTACAGGTGGCATTTACTCCCGATAAGAATAGCAAGAATGTTCAAGAATAAATCCAAAAAATGTTGGAAATGTCATCAGATACCTGGCTCATACTACCATATGTGGTGGACTTGTGCGGATGCGAGAAAATACTGGACTAAAATCCACACGTGGTTGGAAAAATATGACAAAAAAACATATAGATTTGAAACCGGAGATATTTTTATTGGGAATTTTACCTGATACATACAGTAAAGATTTAAAATATTTGATTGTAAATGTATTAACAGCGGCTAGGATTGTATTTGCTAAAAATTGGAAAAATGAGAAAATACCATCGCAGGAGGAGACTATTAAGAAAATATTGTAATGTGCTGAAATGAGTAGATTGACATTTGAAATTAGAGAACAAGAGGATAAACAATTTTACAAAATTTGGGATCTTTTCTATCAATGGTTAGATAATAAAATAAAATATTAAAATATGTAGAATTTTAGAAAACAATGAATATATAAAGGTGTATTTCTTTTCTTTTTTTATTATTATATCTATAAAATGTTTCTAGGATAGATTTGGGAGGATTATATGAATTGTTATAAAATAAACTAAGTAAATTATAGTTATCTCGCAAAGTATGAATGAACAAAATTATAATCAAATGATTGATTAATAATGATACTAGGGTATTCAATCTTTGATTGATAATATGAGTTATTAGGTAATGTAACTGTAATTGAGACTATGAAATGGATGCACAAAAAATTTGTAAACCAACCGACACACTGCTTGTACACTTATGGAAGAGAGTTGGATGTTTTTATGTTTTGTTTGTTTTTGTTTGTCTTTAAAAACCAATAAAATTTACAAAAAATAAAAATAAATAAAAATTTGAATCCCACCCCTGCCCAGTTGGTTTAGAATAATCCCAGTGATTTATCTGATTTTTACATTATGTTCCACATAGGAGTTTTAGAAACTACTTCTTTTACTGTGGATCTCAGCAACAGACATATTGCATTTATCAAATATAAAATCAATTTGTAAATACTACTTTACATGCTAAAGTTTTGTTAAACCAGCATTTTTTTTTACATATGACTGAGGTTTCTAGAATATGTTACAGTTTTCATTAACTGGATTATGTGCTCCCTCGATATCATAAATAAGACTAATGGCAAAGATATAAACTTAGATTAAGATAATACATCAATACATTTTCCAAAAGCTTCCTTTTCATTTCCATAATCAGAACACTCCACTCTTCATCTCCAAAAGCTTTGTAGAACTAAAGTATTTTCACTGTTTCCTTAATATTATCAGAGACAGGACCATCTTTGCCTCAGGGAGAAGCAGAGGCGGTATTCAGTAGATTCTAACCAATTCTGGAGAACTGGTAACGAAAATTTTGAGTAGTTCAGAGAACCGGCAAATACTACCTCTGACTGCCCCGCCCCCATCTATTCTATACCTCCCAAGTCCCAGCTGATTGGCTGGGTCTTCTTTTATTGTCCTGCACAGGAAAACGGAGCTGGAGAGCAAATTAGTGGGGTGGTGAAGGAATGGGATTTTGCAGTAACTTCCCCCAGAAGTGGGGAGGGAATGGAGATTTTACAGTATCCTTTCCCTGCCATGCCCACCAAGACATGCCAACCAAGCCATGCCATGCCCACCA